GCACTCACCCAAAAGCTGCAGGAGACAAAAGGAGATTCAGGAACAGGAAAAACACAGGTCGAGGGTTCAGGGACAAGGAAATCTAGCCGATGGTCAGTGGAAAATTTTGTCAAGGGAGAGTCAGGGACAGGGGAAAGGATTCAACACAAGCTTTTTAAGGAAACATTAACAATAGTGATAAAAATTATAGTAATAATAATGATGGTGATAATACTAACGATAAGAATCATGATGATAATATTAGTAGTAGTACTCCAATAATCTAAAACACAGAAAACGAAAAGCCTAATCCGTGTTCTGTTACCTGTGGTCAATACAGACAGAGAGCAAGATGGCCAAATTGCCACCGAAACCAGCAAACTCGGATGTTTTCCATACACGGGAATCTGGGATAGTAAACTCATCGAGGCGCTCCTGTTCACTGAAGATGCCCATTAAGGTAATAAACTGCAACGTGAAATCGAATAGAAATGTGTAACTCAGCTTTGGCGGTAAGTATTCTTCCTTTAATGAATGTAGTGATATAATCAGATTATTAACATGGTAGTTTTTTTACTCTAAGAATAATGTATACCAGTAATATCTGTTGCTAGCTTTTGTTGCCTTAAAAGTGCAAATGTATTATTACTATGACCTATAGAAATATTTGTTTCGTTCATCAGACATGTAAAGACCAATATCTTAATCAATGTTTACACAAATCAAAAAAAAAATAACTTACCGTTACCAAAGCCTCTGGGTAGACGATGTACCGGGTGAGGTAGAGTCCAGCACTGCCCTTTTCCACTTGATTCCTAGAAGCGATGGTTCTTGGCTTTTGAAATTGAACGTGTATTCTAAAAACATGTGCTAGAAAAACATAGTTCACGTACAATTTTGCACATGCAGAAAGGAAAAGCCAGAGTGTAGAAAGAAAGTAAAGTATGGAAGAAACAAAGATGGCAAGAGCAAAGCAAGCCTTAACTAGAAGCACTCAATACAGACCATACCTCCACAAAGTTAATAGGGTCACTAACGCTTGAAGAATTACACTAATATCACCTTTCTTGAGTACACTGTTGACGTCCGTAAAAATAACCTCCTTGGCGGATAATAATAATCTTTATCCCTATTGTCTTAGCAATAGGAGTAACTGATGCAAAAAAATCCAGGATCCAGATCTTTAGCCGGATCACCACAAATATTTAATGGAATCTAAGTTAGGCTAAGACTGGTAAAACTGTTATAAAATTCATCTGTTCAGAACTTCATGAGTTATCCTGCCGACCAACGAACAAACAAACTGACTGACCAACGTGACCAAAAAACTCCTCTTTGGCGGAGTTAAAAAGCAATACAAAAGAGTACATAATACAGTACCGGAACTGATCCATCACTTCTTTGCCGAGCTTACAGGCTTGCTTTGAGGAGATCTCGTAGACGGGGCCTTGATCGTAGTACACTCTGAGGTCTTCCCAGTATTCCAGTATCTACCGTAAAACAATATTTAGAATTGCAAAATTTCCGTTTAAAGAGCCAAGGCCTGCAATCGCGCGCCCGTGCGGTGTGTGTACGCGCGTGTATGTTTTGTTTGAGAACGTATACGGGCATATGCTTAAGTATATGCATGCAAGGTATGCGAGAGTTTATGTATGTGCATATGAATTGTTTATATTTTTCTGGGTAGCATAACCTACCTTGAGATTGTCCGGGGTGAAGACACTGCACCAGGGCGAGTCTTTATTCGGGTACCACGCATAGTAGTACCGACACGCATTGTACATCACACGAACATCACCTGGAATGAGAAGGCAGATATCATGAGATATTTTTATTACTGAAAAAGGGATTATAGAAATTATAAATAGTATTATATATCAGATTTTTATTGCACTCGTTTTCCTTGCTCTGAAAAAACAAAAGGTAAAGACTGCTTAGAGACATAAATAAATGTAGAGAAAACGAAGGTAACTCTTCAGAAAATACGTACTCACGGACACCGCAAATCCAAGACGGTCCGCCACACTTTCAAGAACAGAAGTCATGTAACTCCCATTCATGAAATTGTGGTACGGCTTCCGCCTCTTGTCCGCGTTAATTACACGTTCAATGTAGTTTCCACAGTTGTCGGAGAACTGATTGGTGGGCAATACACTATACATTAAAGCAAGAATACATTGAAAACGTGTGCTTCCGTGCGTTTGCTTGTCAATGTGTATGTCTATCTTTCCATCTATCCACCTATATTTCTAGTTATTTGTCTATCTACATGTATCTTCATCATAGGACATTGTTCCCACTGAGTTGCGAGGTCAACCACTCGAGTTCTTCGCCAGACTCCCCTCCCGAACCTCCGTCCAGCGCTCGCGGTCTTTTTGGAAGATTTCCCCGCCTCTTCCGCTCTCCCGGGACTCCCCTTTCGTCTCACTCCCATAGCGAATGCTATTTTTATACATATTATAATATACATATATATAAATATATGCATTTATATGCATATATATATATATATATATATATA